TTGTTAGCGCAGGCGAGTGCAGCACAATTGGACAAGTGGCTGATGATGTAAATGATCAAACACCCGTTTTTTGATGGGGAAAAATTAGAGATGGGCACATGAAATCATGATCCCAGCTGTTGGCAAGGTGAATGTAAACCATAGTTTCCACGCATATCCTTGTGAAGTCAAATTTGATTGGATGAGGACAAGGGCCAAAATGGCATCAGGTTTTTCTTTCACGCTGGCGGCTTCTCATGAGTTGACTTGCAGAAACTTGGCTCCCAAGGGTCGGTTTGCAAAACAGTTCAACATGGAGACCAAAACCAACGAGTATAGCCTCACATTCACAACCGCGTTTGGGGCATCGTCCTTGCAATTGAAGGATGTTCAATGTGCATGCCCAATGTGCACCTCAAAAAGTGTAAGAAAACATCACAGATCTTCACGAGTTGGTACGATCGGCGCATTGCCAAGCACATTGGGATCGTGGTAGCTGATTTGCAGGCCTGGCATACCCCGAACCGATCTGGAAGATTATCCAAAGTGGATGCACATGTTTCCACACCGTGTTTTCTCTATGGTGATGGTGTTCGATGTTTGCCTCATTTGACAATTCAATCAATGATCTATGGATAGCGGACAAGACGAATGCATTCTATTCAAAGTCAGAAGACTTGGGAGGACCTCATCCCATGCTTCCAGCCGTGAAGCCTTCGTTTGACAGATGGTTTTTCTCACCCTCCCTGCAAACGACTGCACTGTTGCAGCTTGCAAACTTCTACACTTTACAGTTTTCAATGTTCTTTCTGGGGGGTGACCAGCCCAGACCTGACGACCCTCACCCGTTCTTCGCATGGGGAACTTCAGGTGCGAGCCGGAGATGGAGCCAACTGAGGCTATTTCAACGGGGCAATGGCGGCTGAGCATCAAGGGATTCTCTAAAAAATTCTCTAGGCTCTGTAAAGAGAGGTGCTGAACAAATCAGGTTCTTTTCAACTGAAGCTTTTCACTTGCCTATGTCTATGTCATTCACGTCATTCACACGATGTTCTTCTTTGCACAGGGTTCTGTTCTCTGGACAAAGGAGAGATCGGTGCCGTACACATGTCAATGCGCTCCTAGTTTTGCCTTGAGTTGCTTGGTTTGGTGGATCTCCTGTTGCCAGATTTTGTAGTTTTCTGACATTTGGAGAGGCAAAGGCCTTGAACCGCCGCGGCTGGGAGCAGCTTTGCCAGGGACGGCACCACGAAGCTTTGGAAGATTTTTCTCGAGCCATCGAGCTGGATGAGGAGTTGGCTGAGGCTTACAACAACCGCGGCATCGCTCGAAGACTCGAAGGCGTTGAAGGTGCTGCAGAGGATGAAGACTTGGCAGATGCCTTGACAATGCACGATCTGGAAGCTCACATGCGGCTGCGACAGCAGCGGAAGTGGATGTGCGTCGGTTTCAATACTCGAGGAGAACCTGAATGTGAGAAAGCTGCCGCGGATGCCGATTTCCTGATTTCCTTTGCAAGTCCAGACAGAGATGAAAACAATCGGATCCTGCGTGAGCTGAAGACGGGAGTCAACTATGGGCACTCACGATCCTCCAGCCGTCCGGCCAGCCCAGCGGATCCGGATCAGCGGATCAGCGGATAAACGGATCATCGGATCATCGGACCAGCGGATCAGCGGATCAGCGCGGATCAACGGATCAGCGGATCAGATCAACGGATCAGATCAACGGATCAGATTAGCGGATCAGCGGATCAGCGGATCAGCGGATCAGCAGATCAGCAGATCAGCGGATCAGCGGATCAACGGATCAGCGGATCAGCGGACCAGCGGATCAGCGGATCAGCGGATCAGCGGATCAGCGGATCAGCGGATCAGCGGATCAGCGGATCAGCGGATCAGCGGACCAGCGGATCAGCGGATCAGCGGATCAGCGGACCCAGCGGATCAGCGGATCAGCGGATCAGCGGATCAGCGGATCAGCGGATCAGCGGATCAGCGGACCAGCGGATCAGCGGATCAGCGGACCAGCGGACCAGCGGACCAGCGGATCAGCGGATCAGCGGATCAGCGGATTAGCAGTGGATCAGCGGCTCAGCAGCGGATCAGCGGACCGAACCAAGAGATCCACGGGATTCTGCAAAGTGCTATCTTTTTGTACTTGTCAACTGCTTTCCACACACGCGCCTGCCTTCCGCTCATTGCAGGCTCATTCTCCAAGAAAGTGTACCTTTGACAAGTTAGTGCATGTCATCAGCAACATCATGATTTACGTCATGTATGTCCTTCTGGCAGCCATCCTCCACATTGTCTGACGTTTGGGATCTGTTGTTTGAGGAACCTTATCCTACTCTGAGCGTTGTCATTCAGGCGGGCAACCCTCGAGGAGGGCTACAATTCTCACCGCAACAATACATGTGCATGCATGCCATCAGCAACATATCATGTATGTCCTTCTGGCAGCAATCCTCCACATTGTCTGATGTTTGGATTTGAGGAACCTTATCCTACTCTGAGCGTTGTCATTCAATGTTGTTTGTGCGGCCTGAAGTCATCCCTTCCTCGTCGATGTCTGGTTTGGCAATTTCACCAAGGCGGGCAATCTTCCAGTGGTGCGGAGGAGGCTACAAGTCTCACCGCAATACAATGACATGCGCAAGCATGCGCAGCACTTTTGGTGCGACCATTGCAGGCTTACTTGTCAAGGGATTGTATTAGCTTCACACGGCAATGAAATGTGCTTCTAGCAGCCAGATTGTCCAAAGTTGTGAGATTTGGTGTTATACCCTACTCTGAACATTGTCATTCCCCACTGCCTGTGCGGCCTGAGGTCATCACATCCTCGTCGACTTTTGGTCCCTTTGTTCTTTGGAAATTTCACGAAGGCGGGCAATTCTGCTGCTGCTGCGCAGGGCTGCAATTTTCAGAGCAACAGAGTCACCGCACAAGCATGTGCAGCATTTTTGATGCAATCGCTGCAGGCTTACTTTTCAAGGGACTGCGGCTTCATATGGCAATGACGAATCGCGAATTCTTTTGCAAATAATATCTCATGAGTCACGAGTGTGCTTCTGCCAGCCATCTTGGACATGACCCACTCAAAACTTGTTAAGACAGTCAATCGCAAGACGCATCCTCAAAATTGTCCGTGCCAATCATGGCGGCTGGGTCGACTCATGCTGCGCTTGCGGCGATCATTCGAGAAGCCGACCGGTAGATTGCCTGGCGGCGGAATTGTCTCCGCTCTTTGAAAATCTTGCAGCCGTGTACGGAAGAGAAAGTGACCTCAAGGAGTCAGTTGCTACCTTTCCCTACACATTGCCCGGCTTGTCAGAATCGGCTTGCTGAATGCAGAACCTCGGCAGCTGCTGCAATCATAGTCGACCTGGCTGGCATTGTGGAAAAGCAGCATGTCCAATTACGCTGCAGGCGTCCATCCTGCCCTGACTTTGGGGTGCTGTATTGGCACAACCGCAGTGTGCGTGAAGGGCGGCACGTTTTTCATGGAAAGCTACCAGGCTTCCGTTGCTTCATGCCATCTTCTGTTTTTGGCTTTAGTGTGTGCCGTGGCTTCAGCAGTTCCATGCTCGCCTGGTCAGGCAGCACGCGTCATTCACAGCGAAGCGGATGTGCTCACTGCGCAGGCTGCCCGCCTACATCTGCTCATCAGCCAAGGTTGGTTTACATGGCGCCTTCTCACAAGGGCACACCTGTCTGAGATGGACTTTTTGAAGCCTTTGGAAGACATGGTGGCCCTTTTCTTGCCGCAGTTGCAACACACATTTGGACAGAATATTTTGCAGGTAGCACAAGAAGCAGGCATGCGCTGCGATGTGGTGGTCCTCGATGGCAATGCCAAGAATCGGAGGGCTGTGTGTGCAGCAGCTTTGGCCGGTTCCTCCCATTCTGAGCATCTCCCGCGCACCTTGCGCCACACCTGCACCAGGAAGCCGGCCTTCCGCCATGCTTTTTGCCGTTGGCATTGCGAAGGACCTACGGACGGAGAAGATCACCTTCAGGTGCAAGGGCTGGGTCATTGTCATTTGTGTTGCTTTCTTCTGGCTGAAAGAATGTGCCCTTGTCTTAGACCCCAACTTCAGGATGTGGAGATTGTGCACCACAAGGTGGTCAATGATGGGCAGCAGCTTATGGTTTTGCTGAAAGAGACCATGGAGCCTCAGAGAGAGGCCTGGGTTTCGGATGCATGTGTCCCTGCAGCAGTTTTGTCGAAATATGTGCGACAAGTAGGCCAAGAAAAGCTCAAGCCTCGCAAGCGGTCACATGAGGATCAGTCGCAAAGCCTTGGCGAAGCATCTTCTCCATTGCCATCAGCTTCTCGGCCTGCGGGGACAAACAGTCCTGCAGACCTGCAGCAGCTCTCAGACTCCACAGACCTCATGTCGGTCACCTGTTCTACACACAAAGAAAGCACAGCTGCCCAAAAGCAGCTTAAAAAGTCTGCCGGAATGCTGTGCGCGTGTTTGTCGGACGGTGTAATCTTGCACATGCAAGAGATCTATGGCTGCGAATCTCTAAGCCAGCGATACGTCTGCGTTGCCGCCGTCAAGGCATTGATGCCGTCCCTCTGTGTAGTCGTGCATGATGACGCTTGTCACTTGCACAAATATGCGGCCCGAAGGCAAAGGACAGAAGGGTTGCATGTCTGTTGCTGCGGGATATAAATAAATAAATATATATATATATATTGTAACTATTGGACCTGGGGCAATCAATAGCATGCTCTGGAAGCAAACCTTGAAACCAAACCTTCAGCCCGAACCAGATATGTGTCGGAGTTAAATGAACTAGATTGGCCCTGCAGGATTCAGCAGCTGCCGCTGGCATAGTTCCGCCACAGCTGACCTACGTATGTGACAAGTTTCACATGGCAGGACACACAGACGCCTGGTGCAGGAAGACTTGTGATCCGGACCTGCCGGAACATGCTTCTGTTCTGAAAGGGATTAGAACATCAGTGTGCGAGTTTACATTCACTTGGCTCAGCAAGTATAAGCACCAAACAAAGCACATGAATGAGTATGGCTTCAAATTCTTCCTCTTGGACATGGCGTGGAGCCACAACGAAATCATTTTGCAAGGAGGTTATCGGCCAGAGGAAGTGGCAGGATCACTTAGTGCTGAACGCGCTAGAAAAAACATTGTGGTCTGATCTTGCAAGTGCCGGGCTGCATGCTGTTAAGTCTGCATCCCAGTCGTTCGATCATGTCCCTGCGCATGTGCAAATGTGCTTGTCCATCCTACTTGCTAACTATGCTGCAGTATGCTGCAGTGTTTTTCGCTCATCACAGGTGCAGAATCTTGTAGTGGTAAGTTCCACCGCCATGTCTGAAACCCATGAAGATAGACAGTACATACCGGCCATGAAGCTCATGTGGGATGAAGTAGACGCACGCTTTGATCCAAAGTATGTGCTTGGGGAAGCTGGCCATCGCTTCTGCCAAACATATTCCGTGAGAGCTGCCCATCCAGAATTTCCTTACGCCCTGCATTGCTTGTCAATGATGTGTGCTCTGGTCAATGGGGCTCGTGTTGCTGTCTTTCCCACATCCCCATCGCCTCTGACTCTTGTGGCCATCAATGTGAACTATGCCCAAACGAGAAAATCGTCCATGACAGGCCACGCAGAAACCCTGGGGCAAGTCATCCTGAAGGCAGTGGAATCAAGATTGGAAGAGAGCTTGCCAGAGCCGGCAGTGCAAGATGGATTGCCAGGTGGGCCTTCCGGAGAGCTTCGAAGGCCGGGCTTATACATTTTTCGTCGATGAGATGTTTGACCCTTGTAATGCTTTAACTTTGTGTAAAAGCACGGCAAATTAAATGACAGTTTGCATGACCACTTTTTTGTGTCCTTGCCCACTTTCAGCGCAGGTATTTGCGGCCAAAAATACTTTTAGCTACAGTGGCCAGCTCCATGCCAGAAGAATGGTTTCATCGTTGCTCCGGAGACTGGGACCAAGTCCGGAACGCGGACAAGTTGCCAGGTGACTTCTTGGGCCGGTGTTGGTACGCCTTACTCAGCTTACTCGGCTGCTCAGTCTTGGGCTGATCCCAGCACATCTTCCAAGGACAAGGCAAAACCGAAGGTGAACCCGTACCAGAGCGCTTTCAACAAGCTGCTGCAATTCGGCTCCAGCGTCAGAGCCACGAAAACAGCAGGCAGCTACGGTGAAAGGCCTGACCGGACAATAAGCATGGGAATCACCTGCAACATGCACCCGGCGCAGTACATCCCAATGGAAAGGGGCGAAAAAGTTCCTCGTTGCCACTGGCCGACCGGTACAACCTCATGAAGAGCTCCCCCTGATTTTTGCGCCCCTGAAGGATGGGGCTCAAAAGTTGACATTGATTGAAGCAAGGGCGTTTGTAGCTGCCACTCAACGCAATACACGTCTCATCAAAAGTCTTGCATTTTCTTGCTTTTCTGGGACGAATATCGCTCCGTTGAATGCACAGGAGCTTCGCGGCACCACTGGGTCCCCCTCACTCCTGACATTCCTAAGTTGATCGGCGTTGCCAAAGAAGCGGCATCTCCGCTCAGGAATGGCGCGAGGCCGGCTTCGCAGATGCAGGCGTCGTGCAGCTCACGCAAAATGCTGCCTCGGAGTACGTGCCATCAGAAGAGGGATACCCAGTTAGGCTTTTGTATGGCAAGCTCAGCCGGCTCCGTTTCAAGCGTGACCAATCCGCTCCAAACGGCTTTGAGGCAGAGTGGAGAGCAGCCAACCGCAACTTTGCCATTCCTGAGGAATGTTCCATTCATACGGCAGTGGCCCGACTGACGGGATACTTCTCAGAGCCGCGCCAAGTCATCACTCTCACTGCGGAAGCAGAGTCGTGGCACTTGTCCTACCAGGGCGCCATGAATGTTCAGAGCCATGTCGTTCGTGAGTCTGGGGACGTGCAAGCTGGTGCTCGTTTTGGTGCAGCTCCTTGGCAAGTAGGCGTCCTGGCAGCCTTGCTCTTGGTATTCGAGATCTTCGTTGGGGCCCATTCCGTTGAAGCTCTTCAAGCAAAAGCTTTGCAGGTCACTTCTCAGCATTTGCAACGTGCCTACGCTGTTCTCCAGCTCGTCCTCTAGCGGATTCAAACAATTTTTTCCTGTTCATGCGGATATTTTCGCTGCTCTAATAATGCTTGCCAACTTTGGACTTTCGCGTTGAAATTGCAGAACATGACTTTGCCACTCTTGCCTGTAAGGTTCAGAGGTTGAAGCAGATTGCACTCGGGGATGCTGCCACAAGCCCAGACAATGCCCCGCCGCTGGAACAAGAGGCTTCCTTTGATGTGGGCTCTCTACGTGTTCCGTATGATGAACATGCTTTTGCAGCTGCAACGCAGCCGCGGAGACCAGTCGATGAGAGTGAGGATGAGGATGATGAAGGGGACGCGGGAGAAGTTGACATGGAGCCACCCGAAGAGCCTGCTGAACACATGGCCCAGCCGCCCCAGCCACCCCAACCCATGGATACGGAACCCGCAGCTTTGACTCTGCGAGATGTTCGTGCCAGTGATTATGGTTTTGTTGACAATGGACTTTCTGTGGGCCTCCGCAGCCGCCACTTGACCAACAGGGCAATGTTGAAGCAAACGCTTCTGACAGGGAAGCCCAAGGTCACGCGCAAGGAGGCTTGTGACAAGATGCGCAGCTCCCGACAAGCAGGTCGCAAGGCTTTACCCAAGGAAAAGTGGACTGCTGTGATGATGGCAGCTTCCGCGGGGCAGCATCCAAACCTATTGCGCCTGGAAGGTGAGACATTGTGCTTGCATGCGCAGGTCATACCTGACACTTCCGATGGCAAGGTGCGGTACCACAACGATCTCATGAAAGCCTGCGGCCTCACCTTGCGGGAGCTGATCGCAGCCATGAACAAGACAACTGAGGCATCTGAGAAGTCCGAGCAAGACCGCCGTGCAAAACGCACCAGGAATGAGTGACATAGGGCAGCCGTTGTTGTTGTTGTTGTTGTTGTTGTTGTTGTTGTTGATGTTGTTGTTGTTGTTGGTATCGGACGTCAACCTGCTCCTCACAGAAGTGAAGTAGTTAAGACGCCTTTGTTGCCCAGCAGCGGAGCGGTCACTCCACACATGACCGGCGAAACCGGTCAGCAACCCAACCTTAAAATCAAGTCACCAACATGCTGTACTAGGTACAGCGCACAGGCATCGCCAAACCATACTTCCGCCACAGCAGAAGTTGCCTCTCTTCAAGGCGTGGGTACATTAACGGATGGTCTAGCACCATCTGCACTCAATTCGGTGACGGGCCCTCGCCCATCACGCATTGAAGCGAACCACTGGTAGCCAGTGAAAGATGTGCTCAACTGAGGCAAAGAGGCAGCTGCGGTAGACGGCCTGAAGCAGAGCAGCCGTCAAGTGCACGCAGCGTGCCATGCCATGGAAGCGCCTCATCATCCAATAGCAAGAACCGAGCTCACCTGCCTCACACAAGCTGGGCCAAGCGCTCAGCTCCACAAAACTCCCGCCGTATGGCGAGTTGCGGCTGCCACGTCTGCAGCAGCCGCCAACCAAGACATAGGGCAGCCGTTCCGGCAGCGCGGCATGAAGATTATAAAGGGCGAAAATGGAATTGGCGCCAAGAACACAAATGAAGCAATGTAATTTGAATTTCACGCTTCATGTCCAAAAACCCCCTGGCAAGAACGGCATTGTCCTGACCTGGCCAGGCAAGCTCTGGAAGAGTCGGCTGCGCGCTGCTTTGACATGATCTATATAGCTAGGACTGCGCTCGTGGTCATGATTGCTTCGTGACAGCAAGTACTATAGGCGCAGTGGGGCTCGCATGGCTCCCTGCGTGCCAAATCACATATCACGGCCTTTGGCCGCACAAAAGCTTCTATATAGTCTTTTACTAACTGATCAACAGAGCGGGCCAGCGGATCAGCGGACGAGCGGATCAGCGGATCAGCGGACCAGCGGATCAGCGGATCAGCGGACCAGCGGATCAGCGGATCAGCGGATCAGCGGATCAGTGGACCAGCGGATCAGCGGATCAGCGGATCAGCGGATCAACGGATCAGCGGATCAGCGGATCAGCGGATCAGCGGATCAGCGGATCAGCGGACCAGCGGATCAGCGGACCAGCGGATCAGCGGCGGTCCAGCGGATCAGCGGATCAGACAACCCCACGATCATAAGTCACTATGGGAGTCTTCGCCTCTTGCCGTCATGTCGTTGGAATCGGTCCGGAGGATTCACAGTCTTGCGCTTGTTTTGCCTCATGTTCCAGTTTACAGTAAACATAGTATACCTTCTTGCATTGCACGAATCGTTGTTTGAACAACTCAGGACCGGTGACCTTCTGCACCGACAAGTCACTGGGGATGGGGCTCCACATCGAAGTGCAAGAGATGAGACGCTGGAACCCGATTTTCTCGGACCTGGATCAGGACCTGGATCAGCCCCGGCAGCCGGGAGAATTTCCTCCCTGGTTCAAGCACTACAAAAAGGCCGCAGAAGAAACCAAGCATGGACTCCTCATTTTGCAGCTGACCGATTCATATTTACAGCTTCTGGGTTGGACGGATTTTTTTGTTGGAGTAGGGAGTAAGTACTTGGGATGTGAAAGGATTCGAATGTGTTTGATGTTGTTTGCTGACTTGTTGAGGTCCAAAGCCTGCCGGTGGGAATTCGGTTACATACGGAAACCCGAGTTTGTGCACGTCTATGTGCCCAGTGGCAACAATTCACCTGGCAGAATCGTCAAATGGGAGGAGCTCATGGAAGATATTGAGCTTTGCAAGCAACTCTTCGGAGAGGCTTTGGGCCGCACGTTCCAGGGGAACTTGGATGCAGAAGATCCCACAATTCAAGGCACCTTCATGCAACTTGAGAAGATGGCCGAGACTGCAGAGGAACAGGAACACCAGGCGTGGTGCGAGCTACCTTTTCGGCAATTGGCTTACAACTTTGCCAGGAACACTTTCGGGGAGGAAAGTGCAGACACCATGTCGAGCGCAGACAAGCTGATTGCTGTCTTCCTTCAAACTGGATTTGCAGCCAGGGCCCAACAAATTGGAAAGGATTTGTTGGAGAAAAAGGAGAAGAAATTTGGCAAAGACCACTTAAACGTAGCCATAACTTTGACAAATCTGGGCAGTGCGCATGGAGACCTGGGCAACTACAGGCAGCAGAAGGACCTACTCGAGCGTGCCCTGAGAATCAAAGAGCAGCACTACGGGAAAGAACATCCCGAAGTAGCATTGACTTTGACAAATCTGGGCAATGCGCATGGAAGCTTAGGCGACTCCAGGCAGCAGAAGGACCTGCTCGAGCGTGCCCTGAGAATCCATGAGCAGCACTACGGGAAAGAACATCCCGCAGTAGCCATTACTTTGACAAATCTGGGCAATGCGCATGGAGACCTGGGCGACTCCAGGCAGAAGAAGGACCTGCTCGAGCGTGCTCTGCGAATCAAGGAGCAGCACTACGGGAAAGATCATCCCGAAGTAGCAGTGACTTTGGGAAATCTGGGCAATGCGCATGGAGACCTGGGCAACTACAGCCAACAGAAGGACCTGCTCGAGCGTGCCCTGAGAATCAAGGAGCAGCACTACGGGAAAGATCATCCCGAAGTAGCAGTGACTTTGGGAAATCTGGGCAATGCGCATGGAGACCTGGGCAACTACAGCCAACAGAAGGACCTGCTCGAGCGTGCACTGGTAATCAAGGAGCAGCACTACGGGAAAGATCATCCCGAAGTAGCAGTGACTTTGGGAAATCTGGGCAATGCACATGGAGGCTTGGGCAACTACAGCCAGCAGAAGGACCTGCTCGAGCCTGCCCTGAGAATCCTGGAGCAGCACTACGGAAAAGATCATCGCGAAGTAGCCATTACTTTGACAAATCTGGGCAATGCGCATGGAGACCTGGGCGACTCCAGGCAGCAGAAGGACCTGCTCGAGCGTGCCCTGAGAATCAAGGAGCAGCACTACGGGAAAGATCATCCTGAAGTAGCAGTGACTTTGGTGAATCTGAGCAATGCGCATGAAAGCTTAGGCGACTACAGGCATCAGAAGGACCTCCTCGAGCGTGCCCTGAGAATCGAGGAGGAGCACTACGGGAAGGGTCATCCCGAAGTAGCGATTGTTGTGTTCAATCTCGGCGTAGCTCATGACTCTCTGGGAGATCTTCGCCGAGCAAAGGAGTTGCTGGAGCGTGCTTTCAAGATCTTTGTGAAACACGGCAGCCCCTATGCAGAGCAAGCTCAGCGTTGCCTGGCACAGATGGAGGTGAAGATGACAGTGAGGCCCTCAGTGAGGCCCTCAGTGCTGAGGGGCCTCGTGGAAGCCGCCCGAAGAACCCTCCAGGAGCCACAACCGGGGAAACTGTAATTGGGCAGAATCTTTAAGGCAGGGTGGGAGATTTTAAACAGGTCTACCCAGGCAGCCTTGAAGTGTGAACAACCTGAAAGGGTATAATACTAATTAATATTATAATTAATATATATATAGACGTTCTTCTGCTGAATCTTGCCAATACAGATTGTCTATCTCTCTCTCTCTCCCTCTTTGGTTTTGACATGGATACTTTTTGCGTAGAGAATGGGCATATCTGTTTTTTTGATTCCAAACGCTTCCAGAGGTCAGAGATGGTTCCAGACCTATATTTCCTCCCTTCTCCTCTTTTTTCTTCTCCTCTCCTCTGATCTCCTTTCAGTCTTGCAACAAGTCAGTTTCAGTAAATGTGCAAAGCAACAAATCCAAATCCTTTGATGAATGCTACCTGCCTGGGTCGTGCCCGCCCCATCACTGCTCAATGACCCACCAGCATGAAAGCACTCTGCAACTTCAAAATGAATAGCTTGGCGCTTCATTTGGCATGTTTTAGTAAGACAGAAGTTTTTTGTGGGCAGCTCTGGAGACGATTGCGCAGAGTCAAACATGCAAACTGGCAAGGACGCGAAGATTTGCAGAAAGCCTTGGCTCTTTCGTTGGAACCGGTAGAGGACTGACGTCTGCAGAGTCAAACATGCAAACTGGCCAGGACGATGAAGATTTGCAGAAAGCCTTGGCTTTTTGGTAGATCGCTGTACGTCTGGGTGGAAGATTTCATTCGGGTGAAGCCAGGCAGTCATGAAAAGTGAACAATCCAAAAAGTAATAAGTTCGGTTTGACGTTCCTCTGCTTAGTCTTGCTGATACCGACTCTCTCTCTCTCTCTCTCTCTCGGATTCGAGTTTTCAGACAGAGACTTTTGTGTTTTTGTTTTGCGTAAGTAATGGACAATTTGCATTGTCTTGTGGTAAATGTTTGCACCGCATGCGGCGTTGCGCCTACAACATCTGAAGCGTGTTCATGTAAGGGGCCACTTCAGAACGCTTTCAGAGGCCAGGGATGTTTCCACATCCTCTCCTCTTCTCTCCTTTCAGTCTTGCAGCACTAGCTGTGCACCAGCACTACTCAACGATTCACCAGCGCAAATGAAAGCACTCTGCAATATCTCACAGCGCACAGTTTGGCACTTCATTTGGCATGCCTATAGTAAAAAATAGTAAAACAAAACTTTATTGTGGGCAGCTCTGGAGATGATTCTGCAGAGTCAAACATGCAAAGCGGCAAGGACGACGAAGATTTGCAGAAAGTTTTGGCTCTTTCGTTGGAACCATTGGAGGACTGCACTGGCGCAGAGTTTGGTTCACTTCTGACATGGTGCAAGAAAGTGTTCCGCCATGGAAGCGTGCAATTCACTATCCTTAGGAGCTGCTGGCCCCAGGCCACTTGCATATAGTTTCCCGGCTTTCTGCCTCGCTTGGGGACATTTCAACCATCTTAAACCCTTTTGCAGCATTCTGGATTTTGGAGTGTCTTGAAGGGTTTTTTAAAGATTCTTCCAGCACTGGGGCGCTGCATTTTGGTTCCACATGCTGAGCACGTGAGAGAGCGGATGCAAGCCTTACTATAGGACTCTAGGATATATTCAATATATTCTCTATTCTTAAGCAAGATCCTCTTTTCTCGGCTTTACAGCCTGATACAGGAGCATATTTGTAAAACACTTTGACATGATGAATCTCAGCAGTTCTGGCTGTGGAAATCACCAGTTTGGATGCACCTTGTTTTCCCTCCTTTGGCAACTGGGGCGACCGGTTAACCACGCCTTTAAACTGAACGCCCACTCAGTATCTCTAAGCAAACCCCGTGCACCCCGTGCATCCATCAGCCTAGCCACTGCGGAACCATTTCAGAGTCTTGATCTGGATCACATCCTCCTGATCAAATTGCGCAAAGTTTTGTTAGGGAAAGATATGCGACACATACCAGACATCAAATTTGGTTGAGAGATGCAGGATGTTGAAGATCCAGAACTTCGAGAAGCTCTGGCACTTTCCATGTCGCCGCTGGACGCAGGTGAGGGCCGCATGAACCCGTCAACCCTGATTGAGTTTGAAGACCGAAGTGCAACCGACTTCACTTGACGGTGGTGGAAGTGATCTCTGAGTTTGAGCTGTTGTGTTCTGTTGTGACTCTTGTGCTAGTCCGCTAGTCCACTCTGGTTTTTTTCCATTTAAGTTTCGGAGAATTTGTTTTCTGGCTGAATTTTGAGTAAACACCAACGGTTGATTGAGAAGACCATGGTCAGGTGCAGCTGATGGCTTTGCACAGACAATTTTGTGGGGAGGTGTTCAACTTTACGTGACAGACTTTGTGTCCGGTCCAACATGCAGCCAGGCTCCTAGAAGAGCTCCACTCTGAGGCCCGTTTTCGGTGCCTGTCTTAGCTGTGCCAGGAGGTGCACAACTTGTCACATTCAATCGGCCAATTTGGGCCATTGCCAGATCTCAAAGGGATCTTGGATGATCTTGGAAAAGATCAGTACCTGCATCGTGCAAGACAATTTAGAGAACCGGATGAAAGAATGATGGGTTCTTTCGACCTTTCTGGGAGTACAGCAAAGTTTGCAGATGCTTGCAACAGATTCAGTAGCAATTTGGATGTCTCGGGGCTGTGAGCCAAGTTCAGTACTGGTTTTTCCCGCAGTCTTCCGAGACACTGGCGTTTTTTTGCGTAGTGGACCCTCTCTGGGTCAACGTTCAACGACCTTTTGGGGTCGCAGCCACTCGATTATGGCCAGGTGGCATGAAGTTTTTGAGATTGTGCCAGAAAAGTCATACGTTATATGGCCTGAGGTGTAAATGTCACTCCTCCAGCTGTGCCACCTCGCCAAAGCTGTAGTTGTTAGGTCTCTCCCAGGCCAAGGGGCTGGGAAGAATCAGATTCACAGTGATTCTGCAGACATTTTGCCTGAAAAGGTGCCTGAACCCATGAGTCATAATTCAAGACAACACTTTCAGTCCAAATGGTGGATGAACATCTCAGTGAGAACCATGCCAGACATTGCCAAACAATTTCGCAGTGCTCATTGGGCTTCAAAAATCAACCCCTGCCATTTCCGAAGTTCATTTACCAAATCCAGTGGTGAACTGGCATACATGTTGCACAGAGCTAGGCCCATCCGCAGCATTGGCTGTCCAATCGTGCGACGGGTCGGTGTCTAGTCGCAGTTCAGTTGCTTCTCAGAGTGCCTTGGCAGCCAAGCTATGCCAAGCTGCTGAGGTTTGGGATCGGTCTTCTTAGGCTCTGAAAATGGGACTGTGTAATTTGACCTCTGAAGATAAAATTGTACATGACAAAATGATACAACATGAACTTGACTTATAGGCATTTATAGACAAAATATATTGGCATAAATAATGCAAAATAGGCACATTGCCTAGCGCTTTCGTGCAGAGCTGCAGCCTGTTTGCCAAAAACAGGACGCTGAGCTGAGCTCGATTGTCCTTGCATTGAACTTTCAAGTCACGTCTGGAATCTGTGAGTCCCCAAAAGACAGTGTTCTTGTTCTTCTTGGATCATTGCTGTTATGGGCCCAAATTTAGGTATGAAATTCATGCGTTTGGCGTCCTGTCCATCAAAGAACCACTCCTCAACTCATTCCCATGTCAGGTCCATTTTCATCCATGTGGGAGAAGGAGCTTAAAATGTCACCTTTAAACGAAGGCTACCCCTTGCCGCATTGCTTTCATTTTGGTATTGCAAAACCTGATCACGATGTTTGTGAATCGAAGCTGAATGATGATGAAAAAGAGTTTAACTAAGCCACAGACTGGGCCCAGTTGTTTTCCGAATCTGAAGTAAACCGTAAATCCTCCAATTTCTCGGCAACCAACATGTTTTTTACATTTTTTTACCCACCAAAATCACATGGAAATCATGGAAGTGGCGGATACGCCGCTGGTCCCCTGAGGGTGTCCGAAAAAGAGCTCACCAAGGGCGCCAAGAGGATCCTGGACGACACCGAAGAGTCCGGGACCCGGAGATGGGAATTCACCATGAAGAATGGGTTTCGACACTTCTCGTAGTTGATAGTTGTGACTTCAGTCGAGCTTAGCATGTCTTTTCCGCATGGATGGTTTCAATCGGTTGGGTTGAAAGCAGCCACAAACTCAACAAGTTTTAGCAGCAGACACGGGGGTTGGACCAGCCAAAATGGGGATACTTCGTGATGCCAAGAATTGGGAACACACCTTGAAGAATTTGGCTTTGAGTACCTAAAAGATTGATGATGATTGCATGATTTGCGAGCTGGGGATGTGGGTGTCACCAGGTTTTTTTTGGCCACAGCCTTATGACCACTGTGAATGGTACGGCGATCAGCATGGGGCTGATGCTACCTGCAACAATCATCAACCATCAACAGCCACTCAGAACCACAATCCTTGTTGGTATTCCTGATCTGATTCTGACTACCAACGATTTCATCATCATGTCAGTGATCTGAACAGCTGACGCCAGGAACACTTGTGGCTTCGCATCCTGCTTCATCTTGGATCAAGATGGCCCTGCCACCCAGTTGAAACCACCATTTCAAGATGTGAAGAGTTGCTCGGATGTTCACTAACCCGTGAACCTGGAACCATCCTTTGCAAGCTTTGTTGATCCCCAAGATATCCCAGTTGCATCCAGTTGCAACGATTCTGTTTGAGATCCAGTTTTTGTGGATTGGCATTTTCTTTCTGTCAAAATATCCGGGGAACCTCACGGATCAGCTGAGCTCCGGATTGCTTTTTTTCCCACTGATTTGGATGGGGCCCCTATACACAGGACCAAGCCTTGCCTAGGATGTTGACAATGGAGATATTTTCTAGACCGACCGAGCCATATATGGCATGGAGGAAGAATTGATGTCCCTTTGAACATCAATATCCGTATCTGCACGATATTTCAGCCATGTCTTGACTTGGGTGTATTTTGCAAAGTTCCAACTTGTCAGTGTGTGACGTTTCAAGGGTGCAATGGGGCCAATGTAGAAAGCTTCGTGTAGTCCTTTTTCTAATTCCCCACCTGCCAGGTGAGGGTTGTTAGATTTTATCAGAGTTGTTCTCCTCCTCCTCCTCGGCTAGCTGTCCTCCTCCTCGTCCTCGTCCTCGTCCTCGTCCTCGTCTCTTCTTCATAGGCTCTCCGGTGTATGTACTTGTTGTAATGCCATCCAAATGCGTTGCAAGAAAATCAAGATCCCGATAGCTGCAAGAAATGAAGTGCTTGACCCTGATTGGAGGGCAAGTTGGATCATGGTTCCTGCGCATGGCTTGTGTTGCAACACTCATCATTCTGTTAATCCAGAATTGTATAAGGCTGTGTTGATATGTAGGGACACCTGGAGATTTTGGTGTAGTGTAGTAGCATGCCTTGTTTCCATCACCTGCGATGATGTCAACTTGATATCTAGCACACTCAAAAGCCATAACAGCTAAACACTCACCAACAATACCAGGGGAGTCTGATGCATATTTCTGTCCAACATGGAAAACGCACACACGTGTCATCTTCATTCTGGCTCTTGTCAAGTCAACAATCTCATCTGTATCACGTTCTCTTGTCTTTCCCCAAGATACTTCAAAGATTGTCCATGAGACTTGTCGAACTCGTGTGTCGTTGTCATCGGTGCAATATCCAGCGATTTGCCTGATATAGCCATCCTTTCCTATGCGAGCTGCCACCATCAAGTCATGATAGTCATTGAAGCAAGTTTTCATCTGTACCTCTTCGAGTCTCTCTCTGTGAGGATATAGTGAACCAGCTTCACAATTCATGAAAAGATGTCCTCCAAAGTTCTTGATAACAGGATGAAGTAGTTGTTGAACTGGGACTTGTTCTCATCAAACTTGTTGTGATCTTCATCAATGCTGTAACCGATGTGTGGAATGAATTGTTGAAATCTTTCTGGAACTGGGCATTTTTCGAATCTGTTTCTGCACCAGTTTCCCAAATTCTAAAACGTCACTGTAAACTGAGAAGATGAACGATAAGGAAATTCAGCATCCTTGTATGTTGGGTCTAATAAGCCTCCACCTAAATATCTGTAAGCCAAGCTATGCAAGATCATACAGTAAGGCAAGACTTTGTGTTCCCCAACATAGGATTGGAGTACTCCAGTGAGATTTCCAAAATCATCATCAATTCTCCTTTCTGCTTCTTTTGAGGCTTCTTCTGATTTCTTTTGATGAAGAGGATGCAGGATGCTTTTAACTACTTTTTCCTCCTGTTTCCTCCTGCTGCTGTTGCTGCTCCTGCTCCTGCGATTCCTTCTGTTCAAAAAACACCTCCCGGATGGGAAAACACCATGGCAGCGAAGGACGGAAAAGCATCAGAATTGCGCCCAAAAACCCCCTAATGTAACTTCTGAAACCCACAGAAAACGAAGATTTTAGCTACTTTTTCCTTCTGTTTCCTCCTGCTGCTGCTGCTGCTGCTCCTGCTCCTGCGACTCCTTCTGTTCAAAAGAGGACGGAAAAACATCAAAATTGCGCCCAAAAACTCCCTAATGTAACTTCTGAAACCGACAGAAAAAATGATTTTAGCTACAAACTCCTTAATGTAACCTCTGAAACCCACAGAAAAGGATTAATTTCGAGCCGAAACTGTATGCAAAGCTCACCAGAAAAACTCCCTAACGTGTCGTCTGAATCTTTAGAAAATAATGTTGGGTCCTGATTAGTACCTAGGGTCGCTATTGTGGCAATTTTTTCCAAATTATTCTGAAACTCATGTATTGTTTGGAGGGTTCGCTTTTGTGGCAAAACAAAATTGGGAGAGCCCTTTTTTTTGCAAAAAAAACTGTAATTGCTGAGAGGCATTTTTTCTCAAAAACGCTATAGCTCAGTCAAGGTAGGTTTGTTTGCTGGGTTCACTATTGCAGCAAGCTGTGCCAGAGCAGCTCCTGGAAGCCCAGAAGGGAAGCAAGCCTTTGCCAAAATTGCCAAATTCAAACTCCAAGCCTTTCCCAAAAGAACCAATCCCTTATTAAACCCTTATTAAAGAACAGCTTTTCCACAATTTTCCAAGGCCCTGGACCAGGAGAGGCTCCATTTCACTTTAGTAGGTTTGTTTGCTGGGTTCACTATTGCAGCAAGCTGTGCCAGAGCAGCCCCTGGAAGCCCAGAAGGGAAGCAAGCCTTTTCCAAAATTGCCAAATTCAAACTCCAAGCCTTTCCCAAAAGAACCAATCCCTTATTAAACCCTTATTAAAGAACAGCTTTCCACAATTTTCCAAGGCCCTGGACCAGGAGAGGCTCCATTTCACTTTAGTAGGTTTGTTTGCTGGGTTCACTATTGCAGCAAGCTGTGCCAGAGCAGCCCCTGCCATTTCCAAATTCAAACTCCAAGCCTTTCCCAAAAGAACCAATCCCTTATTAAACCCTTATTAAAGAACAGCTTTTCCACAATTTTCCAAGGCCCTGGACCAGGAGAGGCTCCATTTCACTTTAGTAGGTTTGTTTGCTGGGTTCACTATTGCAGCAAGCTGTGCCAGAGCAGCCCCTGGAAGCCAGAAGGGAAGCAAGCCTTTTCCAAAATTGCCAAATTCAAACTCCAAGCCTTTCCCAAAAGAACCAATCCCTTATTAAACCCTTATTAAAGAACAGCTTTTCCACAATTTTCCAAGGCCCTGGACCAGGAGAGGCTCCATTTCACTTTAGTAGGTTTGTTTGCTGGGTTCACTATTGCAGCAAGCTGTGCCAGAGCAGCCCCTGGAAGCCCAGAAGGGAAGCAAGCCTTTTCCAAAATTGCCAAATTCAAACTCCAAGCCTTTCCCAAAGGAGCCAATCCCTTATTAAACCCTTATTAAAGAACAGCTTTTCCACAATTTTCCAAGGCCCTGGACCAGGAGAGGCTCCATTTCACTTTAGTAGGTTTGTTTGCTGGGTTCACTATTGCAGCAAGCTGTGCCAGAGCAGCCCCTGGAAGCCCAGAAGGGAAGCAAGCCTGTTCCAAAATTGCCAAATTCAAACCCCAAGCCTTTCCCAAAGGAGCCAATCCCTTATTAAACCCTTATTAAAGAACAGCTTTTCCACAATTTTCCAAGGTCCTGGACCAGGAGAGGCTCCATTTCACTTTAGTAGGTTTGTTTGCTGGGTTCACTATTGCAGCAAGCTGTGCCAGAGCAGCCCCTGGAAGCCCAGAAGAGAAGCAAGCCTTTTCCAAAGGCAATTGCCAAATTCAAACTCCAACCCTTTCCCAAAGGAGCCAATCCCTTATTAAACCCTTATTAAAGAACAGTTTTTCCACAATTTTCCAAGGCCCTGGGCCAGGAGAGGCCCCGTTTCACTTTAGTAGGTTTGTTTGCTTGGTTCACTATTGCAGCAAGCTGTGCCAGAGCAGCCCCTGGAAGCCCAGAAGAGAAGCAAGCCTTTTCCAAAGGCAATTGCCAAATTCAAACTCCAAGCCTTTCCCAAAAGAACAAATCCCTTATTAAACCCTTATTAAAGAACAGCTTTTCCACAATTTTCCAAGGCCCTGGACCAGAGAGGCTCCATTTCACTTTAGTAGGTTTGTTTGCTGGGTTCACTATTGCAGCAAGCTGTGCCAGAGCAGCCCCTGGAAGCCCAGAAGGGAAGCAAGCTTTTTCCAAAGGCAATTGCCAAATTCAAACTCCAAGCCTTTCCCAAAAGAACCAATCCCTTATTAAACCCTTATTAAAGAACAGCTTTTCCACAATTTTCCAAGGCCCTGGGCCAGGAGAGGCTCCATTTCACTTTAGTAGGTTTGTTTGCTGGGTCACTATTGCAGCAAGCTGTGCCAGAGCAGCCCCTGGAAGCCCAGAAGAGAAGCAAGCCTTTTCCAAAGGCAATTGCCAAATTCAAACTCCAAGCCTTTCCCAAAGGAGCCAATCCCTTATTAAACCCTAATTAAACCCTTATTAAAGAATAGCTTTTCCACAATTTCCCAAGGCCCTGGACCAGGAGAGGCTCCATTTCACTTTAGTAGGTTTGTTTGCTGGGTTCACTATTGCAGCAAGCTGTGCCAGAGCAGCTCCTCGAAGCCCAGAAGAGAAGCAAGCCTTTTCCAAAGGCAATTGCCAAATTCAAACTCCAAGCCTTTCCCAAAGGAGCCAATCCCTTATTAAACCCTTATTAAAGAACATCTTTTCCACAATTTTCCAAGGCCCTGGACCAGGAGAGGCTCCATTTCACTTTAGTAGGTTTGTTTGCTGGGTTCACTATTGCAGCAAGCTGTGCCAGAGCAGCCCCTGGAAGCCCAGAAGGGAAGCAAGCCTTTTCCAAAATTGCCAAATTCAAACTCCAAGCCTTTCCCAAAAGAACCAATTCCTTATTAAACCCTTATTAAAGAACAGCTTTTC